AAAGATGAAGTTAAAATGAATTTTTAATGTTAATATTATCTTGTTACTGATCTTCACAGTGGATTTGTCACAAAAAATCTCTCTTCCCTTGAAAACGCAAATGCTTTGCATTTACCTGCTACTCCCTCTCTTCTACCTGCACTAGAGCAGTCTTCAGATGTATTGTTTGTTTTCTGTTCTGTTTCTAAAAGGAAAGTGGTGTCTCTCTGATACTTACTTGCATACACTGTTTGAAGAATTGTTACTATTTTGTGAAAATACATATGCGTATTTCATACCACAGCATTCATAAGTGAAAGAAAAAGACCCCTATTTACCTCCTGTAGTTGATGCATTTCCAACAGTATTGGTTTTATTTATTTTTATTTTTTATTTAAGGGCAGCTTTTATGCCTTGTTCCAAAATAAGCTTTCTAACATGTACATTAACTGATGGTAGAGGATCATCCAACAAATAAATATCTCTATTGGCATAAACAACAAGCACAAAGATGATTCCTTTTTTTCTGATCAGCAGACTTTTTTCATCTAGCCAAGAGGAAGAACAAACTACACAAATTAGAGGATAGTTACCTAGACAAAACACTGTTTTACAGCATAATTACAACTGATCCATGATTATAAGGCTGTGTTCATAATCAGATGAGGCTTTACTTACCTGATATAGTTTTAGCATTCCATGGAGCATAACCATTAAATCCCACACAAATTTTGTGAGGCTTTATTCTGTACCTTTGTTTCTTTTTTTGTTGTTAATTTTGCAGTTGCTGATTTTCGTGTTTCACATCTTCCTAAAAGAGCACCTGTCTCCTGAACTTTGCTGATTTTGCTAATTTATAGGAAATTATTCCCTCACAGAGCTAGGCATAACATGTATTACAGATATGATCCTGAAACTTAAGAAAATTTGCAGCAAATGTAGACTTCAATTTCATGTCATTTTCTACTTCAGCTGTTCCATCTTCAGTCCAAGAGTGACTAAAATTACAATTTTTAACAAAAAAAGACATATCAGACATCAGTGCAGGGAATTCTGGGGGGAAAAAAGGGGGATTGTGGCTGTTTAAAGCTGCTAAAGGGAAGGGAAAAAAAGAGAAGGCAGCATTCAATCTTGTGGGTATTAGTAACGTGCATTCAAAATTACTTCAAAGCATTCTACAAAATGGCTATTGCTCAGGCAAAGTGCTGCATATTTACTAAAATTCTGCATATTATTCTTTATCTGATTCAGATGAATCACATGAGATTTCATTCAGTTTTCAAAATGGTTAAGCCAATCAGTACTTTTCAGAGATGATCAGCAGGTAGTAAAAGGGGCAGATGGAAAATGGGTAGAAAGGTCCTTTATGATTTCAGCTGCCCCCCAGATTTAACAATTTTTTTGGGCTACAGCACAGCATTTGATCCCAAATCTTTCTGAAGATTCCCATCTTTCCCCAATCTGAAATAAAAGTTGCAGTTATCTTCAGTGTGAGTTGAGAGGGATATAAATATATAAAACTTGTGTTTAAATGTATCTTTCTGACAGCTACTTCTCCAGCCAAGGAAGGGAAAAGACCTTCCTCAGCACAGGTCAGGTCAGGGAATAACTGATCTATTATAAACTGGCACAGAGACATCTTCTCTTGTGCAGTTTGGAAGTGGGTCATTAGAATTCCAAGTTTTTTTGCAAGACAAGGATGAAATCTTAAGGGAAACAAAGTAGCTGTGTACCAGGGTGCTCTGATTGTATCACTTTCGTGACTGATCACATTAGCATTTGCTCTGATTATTAGGAGCAACTATATCATTTGAAATGCATGCCTCTGGAGTAGCTGGATTAGTTTAATCAGTCATAGCATAATTTTTCATTTGCATTTTGAATCCCTTAATGCAGATCAGGGATTAGTCACTTAAAAAAAAATATGCCTAATTTCAAAACATTTCAGAATGTTTGCCCTTAAATGCATGATCAGAGAAGAAAAAGGCAAATTCTGTACTTAATTCACCATTTGAAAATAACTGACTGTAACATTTAGTAACAGATGTTTAGCAGCTATAATATAACATAGCTTCATTCACTTCAGTCTACCCCAGCTGAGATACTGGCCCTTGTTAATGGACTATGAATGACTCAGGCAGTCACCACACTGAAATTGCAGAAGAGAATACAATCATTCTCTTGAGCTTGTTAACGAGAGTTTCCTTTATGAAGATGCTCAGTGAGTATCTCTTCATTTCATTGTTTTACCAGCTTGATTGCTAAATCTGTCAGGATGTGATATAACTTTATTAGCAGTAGAAGAAAAATATTAAAATATGGTAAAACACAGAGCTGTTTAAAAGCAGTAGTACCTCCAAAAGAAATACATACTGAACCGTTTATTGGAGGTTATGGGAGGCAAATCCACCCTATAAGGAAAGTATATCCCAAAGATGATTGTGCTTAGGAGAACACATTGATACAACCAAGGGTGTGTTGGATCTTAGGCCTCCTTCCATGGCAGGATTCTGACAGGCTACAATCCATCATGTCTGAAAGACTGGAGTGACACTGAACATGTGCTGCTCTGCAGAATTTTTTATAGGTGGCTATATTTGAAGACTTTTTTTCTTAGGGTTAATTTTGTTAGTAAATTTGCTACAATAAGATTGCTCCTACAATAAAATGTTTGGTTCTCTTCACTTAAAAAATTATAAGCAATTTAAAATCTAGTATTTTTCTTTCATTTTTTTCTCCCTGTTTCTTAAATGGCAGTATAATTGGATGCATTTTAGTATGAATTGTAATTCATGTAATGTAATTCAGTTGTAGCTCCATGAGGAAGAATTTCCATACCTTACTCCAGGCTGTATATAGACCACATAATTGTATCTGAAAGTAAGAGTTCAGTATTTCTTATTTTTCACCATCTGATTAAAATTTCATGCATTTTTGTTAATTGTAGTATGTGTGCTCTGAACCATACAGCTCCATGACTAAGTTTCAATCCTTCATCTTGCTTTTATGTGTTTGTGAAATTGCAGCTGTGTCCTACTGTGAGAATTGTGGTATTCTTTTTAGTTCTAAAATTATGGATTTGTATGGGAAGAAATAAATTGTTACACTTTCTAGCTTACATTTTACACAAGAAGCACTCTTTGAAATGTTGAGCACTTACAAACCAACATGTTATTGACCTGACAAAAGCTTTTACTTAGTATATACAATGTGTTAGATTTTTTTTCCTGTAACAGGCCAGTTTATCCTAACAGTGGGGTCACAGATTTATCAGGTGGATTATTTGTCTTTTTCATCCCATTTTCACAGATACTGTTACCCTTGCTAGTTATGTTAAGCCAACATGGGATGGTAACCAGTTCTATATTTCCCATAAGACTGTGTTTCTTCTTATCTATCTATTTATGAGCATTTCAAGATTGATGCTTATTAGGGAAATTGGAGTGAGTTAAAAAACTGCATGAAAGGTTACTTGGAGAATAAGGGGATCATTTATGAGAAAAAATTGATTTAAACGTGTGACTTAAAGAAACATCTCAGTTTTTCATAAATATTTACATATCTTTAACAGCAAAGAGGTTGTGAGTAAAATTATTAAGAGACTGACAGTCACTTGACTAGAATAAGAAGCAGCAGCATGTTTGGGGGTTTTGCAAGTATCTGAAAATCAGAGAAAAAATAATGGTACAAATAATAAAATCTTTGGCCATCACATGTGACTTTCAGCATGCTTCAAGATCAGAGTTCAACGTCTATGAAGAACCACACGATTTTGAGACTGTTTTATCATGTCATTGTCTGTCATGGTTGTTAAGACAGAGTCTGGATTTTAAAATGGTTGGAATTATGAGTATAATGAGTTTAGGTGCTTGGAACATTTGAACTGGATGTGAATCAAGTACTAGATAACAAGGAAAAACGTGCATTGAGAAAACACTAGCAAAACTGAGATCAGGGTTTTGGCTTGGTTTTCTTTTTAGGCTTTGTTTGGTTTCATTTTTGTTAGGAAAAAAACTGTAAAAAGATTGTAAAAAGCCCCCAGTGATTTAGGAAAACTAAATTCAGAGGAATGGAACTGTGAAAAGAAATCTGCAGTGCCTGAATCTCCGGATCTGTTACAGAGAACTTTGTTCCACTGGGATGGAGCAAAAAATACTACTCTCTTGAGATAATTTCTGATGTTTTGTTCTTCTTGCCTTTTACTAGGAGAGAGACCTCAGAAGATGGATGTATAAAGATCCTTCTTTATAAAATGTTTCAGAAAGTACATTAATTCATCTTGTTACTGTGAACTGATATTGGAAAAAAATCCACAATTACAATTGTGTTCACTATTTGAATCAAAATTTTCTATGCCTTAGGTGGTTGTTTCAAAAGCTGTTTCCCAATAGTACATTGTAATCAATTTAATGCATATTAAGACCTCATTCTTTATTTGGGTACACTTATCAGCTAATGAAATTGTCACTCATTGAAATTAATTTGTGAATTTAGCCATCTTCATCTGTAATCAAGCTGTAAAATATCTAACAAATATATACCAAATAGCTGACAAAAATATCTAAAATATTTACTAAAATATGCTAAAATATCTGACAAAAAATTAATATAAACAAAGGTAATTGGACATGAGTGTTACAAAGTAGAAATGTTAAAAACCTTGTGCCACAATTTTGAAAGTGGTCTAATATGTGATATCTCCTTTTATGGTTATTTACCAAGCATATATGCTCCCAATTTAACCACTGAATATTCTTTTTTTCTGTGATTTCTATTACATTTTATTTTTTCTTTCAATACACTGCTGCTCGCTAAGAAATAGTCAAGGTTCCCTTTTCATAATCATTGCTGTATGCAAGTGATGTGAGGAATGTAAGGAAAAAAGCTTTAAAAATAAAAAAGTTTTGTTTAATGAAAGAACTGCATGCTAATAACTGCTTGATTAGGAATATAAATATATTTTTATATATTTATAAAATATATTATACATTCTTAAGAGGTATATATATAGATATATATAAACCTACAGAAGTAGAACCACTGAAATATGAAGGGACTTTTTGCACATAAAGTTCTTCTATATGTTCTAGACTTTTCTTGGGATTTTATCCTACATCTTATAACTTGTTAGGGAGGAATAATGGAGTTAGTGGTAATACAGGCACTAAAAAGCGCCTCCAAGACTCTCAGGGTACGTGGATGGCTGATTTCATGTGCTCTGTGCCTTGTGTGGTGCAGAGGCAGGGACAAGGGCCATGGCCAGGCTGTGCCGTTGGGTTCCACGGCTGTGACATCGTGGAGGCCGAGCCATGGAACACTGTTACCGGGCGCTCCAGAACACCGGGCTGCTACCGTTGACACTCACTGCGTCTCGAGGCAGCGGTCAGTGCGGCAGGAGGGAGGAAGGCTCTGCTGGACAAGGTCTGGGCCAGCAGGAGTGGCTGCCACGGAGGGTTGGGGGCTAGGGTGAGGGTGCAGGGGCCATGGGCCCACCTTGGGTAGAGCAGGTGCCACCCTGAGGCTGCAGGGAAGTGGCCTCATTTCCACAGAGCTCACTGAGCCTTCCCTCGAGCTTCCTCTCCCACCCATTCCCAGGGCCCTGCATGTCCTGCCCCACTGCCCCAGCAGCCATCTCCCTCCCAGCCCTGCTGACCCTCTTCTGTCCCTCCTCCAGACCATGGGTGGAACCTTCACCCAAGTCCTGGTGGTGCTGGGCGCCCTTTATTTCATGCTGCGGGCAGATGACCAGACTGTGAAAGTCACTGAGGAACTCCTGCACCAGCACAAGGAGCAGCGCAGGCAGGAGATGGCCGCGCTGCTGGCAATGCAGCAGAGGCAGGAGAAGGCCCGGATGCTCAAGGGAGAGCAGAAGAGCCAAGAGATGGCCTGGCTGCTGGAGATGCAGCAGAGGTGCCAGAAGTTGCTCGAAATTGCCCAGGGGAGCCCGTTGCTCTCGGCCTGCCAGCACTGGTGGTTCTGGGCCTCTGCGGAGATGCTGCTCACGCTCTTTGGCTTCTACTGGCTGCCCAGACGGGGCCGCTCTGCCTGCAAGAGCTCAGCCTGTGCAGAAATTCCAGCAGTGCCCAGAAGGAAGAGAAGGAGGAGGAGGAGGAACAGGATGCATGGCACAGCAGACTGCGGTGACAAGCTGGATCAAATCAGGTCTCTGGATCTGTGTGGACAGAGCTGCATCCAGGGAATACACTAGTATTCATCCTTAGGGTGTATGTTTTGACCTTCCCAAAACCAGATTATATTCTAGATGCTTAAGAATTTTTAAGTATAGAGTATAGGAATATAAATTAAATTATTCATAAATAGGAAGTAGTGCTATTAAAGCAGAAAATGTAATGTTGACTAAATATGCATAGGATTGAGTCAAGGAAATAGAGTAGTATTCATTCTTAGACTTTATATTTTAGCTTTCCAAAACCAGATTGTATTTTAAATGTTTAGGAAGTTTTAAGTATAAATTATAAGAATATTAGTAAAATTGTTCATAAATAGGATGTAGAGCTATTAAAGAAACAAATGTAATGCTAACTAAATGTGCCTAGGGCTGCAGCCAAGCAATAGAGTAGAATTCATTTGTTCATTGTTATATTTTATATTATATATTTGTAGTTTATTTTATATTTGTTCATTGTATATTTTACCTATCCAAATTCAGACTGTATTTTAGATGTTTAAGAAGTTTTCATTTTAAGTATAAACTGTAAGAATGTTAGTAAAATTGTTCATAAATAGGATGTAGAACTTAGAGCTATTAAAGTAGCAAAAGTAATGCTAACTAAATGTACTATGATATCCACTGAAAGTCTTCTTCGTAAAAAGTCTTCTTCTTTGTAATGTCCATCATACTTTACTCAAGTAAAGCTTTGTTTTGGTTCAATTTTTGCAAGCTGAACTTTTAAAATATGTTAGAATTTGTAAGCAAATAAATTTTCCTTGTTTCAGAAGTGACATACTTGATGGAATTTTTTCCAGTACCCAAATGGTGTAAGACATTTTTGTAGGAAACAAA